AAGAGCTGATCAGGGAGCCAGAGCCTCTGTGAGGAGCTCCAAATCCTCCAGCTGCCCTGGGCAAGGGACTGGGGGGACATGAGAATTCCCCAGCCTATGTCTCTGCCCCTCAGGACGCATCCCCAGAGAAGGTGGAGAGTCTGGGAATCCTCATAGTAGCCTGGGCTCCCGGGGTAGCTGTAACCGTGCTTTTGTGGGTCACAACTGTGAATACCAAATTCAGTGCAAACTGCTGAGAAATAGGGCAGAGAGACCCCAAAACTGGTGGTTAGTCTCCCATGAGATATACCAAAGCAGCAACAAAAAGTAAACTTCTGTTTCACCACAATGGCTAACAAGAAGCACAGTAACTTGCCAGTGTAGACAAGCCCTTAGTGATTGTTGGCTCTTAGATATTTTCATCTTGTAGCAGGCTGGGTAGAAATGCTGTCCCACCACAAGTGATTTCAGCTCTCATTTGAGCAATTAATATTACAAAGGCTCCAAATGGCCCCTATTTTGCTCTTCCTTTGAACAGTGTGGATGAAGAAGATAAACCAGACTAGGCACCCTTAATGAGAGTCCACACCTCCTTGCTGGGACACCTGTCCCCACCCCTCTTTCTTTCACAGGGCTCTGGAATTCTAGCCCCTGACTTAATCAAGTCCTTTCAGCTGAGGGAGAACCCATCATTTGGGACAGGTTAAGCCTAGTTCTGCTTCCCTTTATTCATACAATAAAAACAGAAACATTGATAACAACATTTCACTACTCCTGCATTCATTACTACGTGATTTGTAAGCCAGCACCAGCCAAAGTTGATCACTTGGGCAGCACAGGTCGGTCTGCTGGATGCCTAGGCAGAGTAAGTGTGTTCACGTAAATACAGTTTGCTCCTGAAGTCTCTCCCATTCCAGCCTGCTGTCAGAAGAGAACTCATTCGCACCCTCCTTACACAGGTTTATGCACCGGACGATATGCTGGGGACGCCTGTCCTAGCAGAGGACTGGACTCATTGACCCAGGAGGTCTCTTCCAGGCCTATGTCTCTTTGGGTCACATTTCCCATTCTGTGTCACACTGGGAGCTTATGTGGAGTTGCTTGTCCACTATGACCCTGCTCCGTGCCCAGGCCGATGGATTTGTCCCTTAATAGATGCAGGAGAAAGCAGTTATCCAGCGTTATCACCTGGAAAAGTAATTGTTCTTGGGCTCTTGTTTAGTGATGTCACAGGAGTTTAATTCCCTGAGTTTCAGGTAATCTCAGCATGCTGGGCTGCCAGCTGCTCCCTCCCCCACCACTAGCCCCAGAGAGGAAGGATGGTTCAGGGGCTTAAGTGCTGGCCTGGGACTCAGAAGAACTGGCTTCAGGTCCATGCTGTTCCACCAGCTTCTTCTGTGACCTTGGGCAAGTCACTTAGTCCCTTTGTGCCTCAGCCACAGGTGTTTTATTATGGCTCATATCACTACCTACTGCCCAACTTATAAATAGGAAGGAGGCATTGCTTCAATAAATTCTGCTGTTCCTGAGGTAGCCATTTGGTTTGATTGACTTCAGGTGAAATTGTAGTTGCTGCTCAGTTCCCGCCATACGAAAGAAGAAGCAGCAGCACAGCATTTTTTGAGGAGGGAGTTCTGGGCCCCTCCTGCAGCTCGGCAGTAAGTGGGGGAATCAGGACTTGCTTGCAAAGAGTGAAGGAACTGGAGAACATTGCCTGGCCAAACAGAGCCCTGATTGGCTGCTCCTCGGTCAGATCCTGACCCCCACCCACGCTCCATGAGCACTGAGAGCCGCTCTAGTGCTGTAGATAGATCTGACACCCTGCATCCAAATTTCCAACATCTAGTTTGGGGTAACTGGATCTGGGGGAGGGGGTTGTTTGTTTCCAATAGAGAGTTACCAGCAGGCATTTGGAGCTGGGCCTCGGTTACCCCCATTTCTATTAAGAATGTGCATGATCTTGCTTATCCTGCATGTGCATGCCTCATGCCAGAAGAATAGGAGAGAGGTAGGCCATAGGTCCCCATTGACTCAGCGAGCCCATCGATGTTATGTGATCCCAGCAATTACAGGCCTGAAAGCGTGATTTCAATACTGGGCAAACTGGTTGAAACTATAATAAAGAACATTATTGTCAGACATATAGATGAACATAATTTGTTGGGGAAGACTCATCATGGTGTTAGTAAAGGGAAATCATGCTTCACCAATCTACTAGAATTCGTTGAGGGGGTCAACAAGCATGTGGAACAACGGGATCCAGTGGATATAGTGTACTTAGATTTTCAGAAAGCCTTTGACATGGTCCCTCACCAAAGGCTCTTATGCCAGGTAAGCTGCCATGGGATAAGAGGGAAGGTTCTCTCATGGATTGGTAACTGGTTAAAAGATAGGAAACAAATGGTAGGTATAAATGGTGAGTTTTCTAAATGGAGAGAGGTAAATAGTGGTGTCCCCCAGGGGTCTGTTCTGGGCTCAGTCCTATTCAACATATTCATAAATGATCTGGAAATAGGGGTAATCAGTGAGGTGGCAAAATTTGCAGATGATACAAAATTACTAAAGATAGTTAAGACCCAGGAGACTGCCAAGAGCTACAAAAGGATCTCGCAAAACTGGGTGACTGGGCAAAAAAATGGCAGATGATATTCAGTGTTGATAGGTGAAAAATAATGCACATTGGAAAACATAATCCCAACTATACTTATAAAATGATTGGGTCTAAATCAGCTGTTACCACTGAAGAAAGAGATCTTGGAGTCATTGTGGATAGTTCTCTGAAAACATCCACTCAATATGCAGCAGCATTCCAAAAAGTGAATGTTATGTTCGGCATCATTAGGAAAGGGATAGATAATAAAATAGAAAAAGATCATAATTCTATTATATCAATCCATTGTATGCCCACATCTGGAATACCACATGCAGTTCTGGTTGCCCCATCTCAAAAATATATACTGTAGAGCAGTGGTTCTCAAACTTTTGAACTGCTGACCCCTTTCACACAACAAGCCTCTGTGTGCGACCCCCCTTCTAAATTAAAAACACTTTTTAACATATTTAACACCATTATAAATGCTGGAGGCAAACCGGGGTTTGGGGTGGAAGTTGACAGCTCGCGACCCCCCATGTAATAACCCCATGCCCCCCTGTAGTTGAGAGTCCAGTGGAGGGCAACAAAAATGATTAGGGGGCTAGGGCACATGACTTATGAAGAGAGGCTGAGGGAACTGGGCTTATTTAGTCTGCAGAAGAGAGGAGTAAGGGAGGATTTTGATAGCAGCTTTCAACTACCTGAATGGAATTTCAAAGAGGATGGAGCTTGGCTGTTCTCAATGGTGGCAGATGACAGAACAAGGAGCAATGGTCTCAAATTGCAGTGGGGGAGATCTAGGTCAGATATTAGGAAATACAATTTCACTAGTACGGTGGTGAAGCACTGGAATGGGTTACCTAGGAAGGTGTTGGAATATCCATCCTTAAAGGTTTTTAAGACCCAGCTTGACAAAGCCCTGGCTGGGATAATTTAGTTGGTGTTGGTCCTGCTTTGAGCAGGGGGTTGGACTAGATGACCTCCGGAGGTCTCTTCCAACCCTAATCTTCTATGGTTCTATGATTCTATGAATTGGAAAAAGTACAGAGAATGGCAACAAAAATGTTTAGGGGTATGGAACAGCTTTCATATGAAGAGAGATTAAAAACACTGGGGCTGTTCATCTTGGAAAAGAGATGACTACAGGGGGATATGGCAGAGGACTATAGAATCATGAGTGGTATGGAGAATAAGGAAGTGTTATTTACCCCTTCACATGAACCAAGGGTCACCCAGTGAAGTTACTCGGCAGCAGGTTTAAAACAAACAAAACAAAGTAGTTTTTCACACAACGCGCAGACAGCCTGTGGAACTGTTTGCCATGGGATGGTGTGAAGGCCAAAAGTATGACTGTCCAAAAAATAAAATGGATAAGTTCATGGAAAATAGGTCCATCAATAGCTGTTAACCAAGATGCTCAGGGACACAACCCCATGCTCTGGGTGTCTCTAAACCTCTGACTGCCAGAAGGTGGGAGCAGATGAAATGGGATGAATGACTCAATAATTGCCCCATTTTGTTTTTTTCCTTCTGAAGTATCTCCACAGTCCCCTGTCAGAAGACAGGACACTGGGCCAGATGGAGCATTGGTGTGACCCAATATGGACTCTCTTATGTTCTTAAATTTGTCCACTGATGGATGGGCTGCTGCAGACAAGCCTTCTCCAGGGGATCCCTCTGTTACAGAGCTGGCATAGATACCATAGGAGATGTCCAGGGGCAGCTCAGTGTGGGAGGCTGACGGGGGGCTAGTGCTGCCACCTAGGGGTCTGGTCCTGTAGCATGAGTGGCAGAGGCTTATAGTTGGAGCTACAGCTGGGCTGGAAAACAGAGTTTTTTACCCCTACCAAAATTTTTGACCCCAATTAAAATGTTTCTTTTTCATCTATGTTTTGGGCTGAGATTTCATGCTTCTTGCCCCGCACCACCACACACACAGACACACAAATTTTTTGACCGAAACAAAAATGTTTCCTTTTCATTCGCTTTTTTGGGTAGTTATTTTCTCTGTAAGCTCAGCTGCCATGAGCTGCCCAGCTGCAGCTGCCTGGATCCCCAAGAGAAATTGGAGTTTTTTCGTCTGCTTCATCCTCGGATCATAAATGTAGGTTGCACTGATGGAGTCTATAGCTGCACTCTGGGCATGGAATAGCTTGTGGGTAGGTGGCCCTAGCTACCAGTGGATCACTGAGATCTGTGTATAACTGTGGGGATCCCTGGATTCTGGGTCCCTCTTTTCATTCCTCAGAGAGAAGGGAAGGGACATCCATTCCTTCAATTTCTATGTAGGAGCCTTGTGGAATCTCCCTTCACTTCGTCGGCCTGCACCCAGGGTTTGTAATGCAGGACAGGGGGTTGCCAAGGAGAAATCTGGTCCTATATTATATTATTATTATTATTATTATTTTATTTTATTTCAGGAAGATCACAGCTCTCACAGCCTCATTGGAACCATTTGGCTGCCCTCGAGGTAGCCATGTGACTAATTGGCATTATATGAACTGTGATGACAAGCCTGGATTCCAGGAATAGAGCCTGCAGCAGGGCTGGCACTGAAGTCATGCTGGGAAGCATCACCCCGTGTCCCCTGGGATTTGACCTCCTGCAGTTTGCCATTTGCTGTGGCGGGGTTAAAGCTGGTGCACATGAAGCCGAGAAGCTGCGGTTCCCTGATGGCCAAGTGGCCCCCAAGGGAATGTGCAGACATGCTTCATAAAGACAGCTGCCTCCCTAGCTGAACAGATACTGCCTGCTGCCTGTGCTACCTCTTTGATGGCTCCTTGTCCTTTACAGTGAAGACTTCTGGTGTCAGCGGCTCCCCTGCTAGCAGGAATTGGGTACGTTGGCAGGTTTCACTATCTTTACAATGCAAAGTGAAGGAGAAAGTCTTGAAGCTGTTTCTATTTGCAGATGTTCTGTGCAGCGGCAGAGGACTCAGCTGGGCTGTCGGGGGGAGTCAGTGATCGGGGGTCCCATTTCTAGAGGTGCCGTGTGCTCTGGGCTAGATACTGCCAGGGGCTGAGTGAGAAGAACCCCCCTGGAGTATCAGTGACCAATTCCCAAATCGCCTCAGGTTTATTTGCTCCTGAAAATTTAATTAGCAAATGCATTTTCAAAGGGTTTATTCTCTGGCTTGATTGCGAACACAGGAATTCAGAGCTGCGCTGCTCTGTGGTAACTGGCCTGATAGGGCATATTTCTGATTCCTGACTGGCTGAGGGCTCCAGTATTTCTGCCCTGTAGAGACCACTCAGAGTTACAGGGCTACCTGCATCTCCGCCCCCGCTCTAGTCTCTGAATGCCAGATGTCAGGCCTCATAGCCTGCCCCATCACAGGGTGGAATCCCACGATTCTTCCACCCTCAGACTGAGCACTCGGCTACAGCACACTGCGAGTTGAACGTGCTGCCCAGCAGGTCCGAATGGGTTCAGCACCTGTGGCTGACACGTGTGTACTAAAGTACAGATGTGTAAATATTATACCAAAACTATTCATTGTAAGACAATATTACAAAGAAAACTTTCATGACATGCCTGTATATTGAAAGCCAGCAGTAGAGTCGCTGGAATCTCTGCCGAAAGAAGCAGTGGTAACTTTACTGTTTAATGGCTTTGGCTTTAGAAAGTATTTCAGAAGTGCTCCACATACTGTTTGCAATGGGTTTGTGCTTTCACTCTTTGTGCAGTGAACAGTTGTATAATACTGTCTCCTGGTAACTGACCAAAAGCTGTTTCTAACATTTACATTTAGGGTCATGCACACAATCCCTCTGCAATACCTCTACAACACTTTCGAAAAAGTCATGAGAGAACAGAACCGCTGGTCAGTGTTTCAGCAAAGAGGAGAGCTGAGGTGCAGGAAAGGGGAGTGTTATTGTGGTTGTAAGTAATTTATGCTCATCACCTGTTACAGGAGTACGACTGAAGTAACTTGTACACTGAACTGCACATTAGTGGAACACCAGTATTTTCAGTATTCACCCGTTTGTGTCGCCAATCCCTCCCTCCCCCAGCTGAAATAACTGTCTGTGTTAGCTTGTATCTTGCCAAATATCTACAGACCCTTGCATGGAGAGAGGATGCAGGTCCTGTGTGGATGAAGAGAAGCTTTTCTTAGAGGGATTCTTGGGGGGTCAGAGTGTATCACCGGTAGGATTTTGTTAGGGAAAGTTATTAGAGGTTGGTTCTGATCGAATGTACAAAGGTATGTACAATGGAGTGATGCCATTGAAATCATTGTTATTCAATTAAACACCTGCCCCTAAGAATTTATCCTATGTCCTGGAAAGAGGTAGTGGCATAATTTGGACTCTCAGGACTGGGGGAAATAAATAGGATAGTTATTGGGGCAATGAAACACACTTAGAAATAGTTTCAATGCAGGACAGACACATACAATGACCGTTTTCAGCATGCATTAGCCATGTGTTTACCACATGTGAAGATGCAATGGACCACACTCGGAAGTGGAGGGCCAGAAGGAGTGTCTGTGTGAAGGTCACAGTTGTAAAATTACACAGTTCTCAAATAGGCTGCAGAACTCACAGCTACAAGATATTGATGGGGCCAAGAACTTAGCAGGATTTAAAGAGGGACTGAATGTGTCTATGGGTAACCAGAAAATTCAATTACAGTAGTACAGATTAAAAAAAAAAGTCTTGTTACAGACTATAAATCCTCCTGATTTACACCACAAAATATGTTTAACTAGTGGGTGTCAGGAGGTAACTTTCCTAGGAGCAGGTTATTCATAGCTGCCCATTGCAGGGGTTCTTCCACCGTCGCCTGAAGCATCTGGAATTGGCCACTGGTTACTGGGCTAGATGGACTGCAGGTCTGATCCAGTCTGGCAGTGCCTACTTTCCTATCACTGGTGTCTATCCAACACTATGTTTTTGCTGATCTACCTTGAATTCCTGGACATCTCTAGACATGCACTAAGAGCAGAAAGATATTTCTTTAAATATCATCTAATTTCCTGTTCTTTTTCCTTTTAGGAAGGAAAGTGGAAAACTCCTAGGGCCTGTCCAGTACATTATGTCAACTGTCAATGACACCAAATTCCAATTTGCAGTGTTCCTTCTGACGGGGCTACATGGGCAGGAAGATTTCCATCTCTGGATCTCTATCCCCTTCTGCTTCATGTATGTTATTTCGATAGTAGGAAATTCACTCATTCTGTTCATTATAAAAACAGATCCAAGCCTCCATGAGCCCATGTACATTTTCCTTTCCATGTTGGCCATCACAGAGCTTGGCATATCGATAACCACTATGCCAACGATACTGGGCATATTCTTGTTTAATTCTAGGGAGATCAGCCTTGATGCCTGTTTTGCCCAGCTCTTCTTCATCCACTCGCTTCAATGCATTGAATCCTCTGTGCTCTTGTTGATGGCCTTTGACCGCTTCATCGCTATCTGTAACCCACTGAGATATGCTTCCATCTTAACCCTGCCAAGAATACCTAAGATGGGACTGGTGTGTGTGCTAAGAGGTGTGGCTATAATACTTCCACTGCCCTTGTTCCTGGATCGTTTCCAATACTGTCAAGCCAACATCCTCTCCCATTCGTACTGCCTCTTCCAGGAGGTCATGAAGATGGCTTGTTCGGATATCAGTGTCAACAGCATCTATGGATTGTTTGCTAAATTCTTAACGATGGGGTTGGACTCGCTGCTCATCTTCCTTTCTTATGTGATGATCCTCAAAACAGTGCTTAGCATCGTGTCCCAGGCAGAGTGCCTCAGGGCCCTGAACACCTGCGTTTCCCACCTCTGCGCCGTCCTGCTCTTCTACACACCAGAGATCGGCCTGTCTGTGATACACAGATTTGGGAAGAAATCATCTCCCTTCCTTCAGATTCTCCTGGGCTACATCTCTCTGCTGGTCCCTCCCCTGATTAATCCAATCGTGTACAGCTTGAAAAGCAAACACCTTCGTGCGAAGATAATCAGGATGTTCATCAAGTGAAGGGTCAATTCAGAGACATGATTAATGCAGAATCCCAAGAAGTATCCATCCAAGCAGCTGATCCCTCTGTACATAGTACCCCTGCTCAGCCCACTCCCCACTGCGGCAGGGTAGAGCTGCGTGTGAGTGAGGGTCTGACACACAGGAGTCCTGGCAAGACACTCAGGCTTAGGTTCCCTCCTCGCCCCCTCTGTTTGTACTTCAACAAGGGGCATACTTCCAGGGCCGGATGCAAGGAAGTTTCGTGCCCTAGGCGAAACTTCCACCTTGCACCACCCCCACACCCAGCAAACCCCGCCGCCCCCCCACAGCAGCTAACCATGCCCACCTGCCCCTCCCACGAGAGGAGCCCTCCCCGCAGCAGCTAACCCCGCCTGCTGGGGCAGCTAACCCAGCCTGCCACCCCTCCCCCCCCCGGGGAGCCCGCCGCCCGCCCTGTCCAGGGAGCCCCCCGCCCACAGCAGCTAACCCCCCTGCAGCTAACCCCGCCCAGGGAGCCGCCCTCCACGCAGCTAATCCCACCAACCGCCCCCACCGCCCGGGGAGTCCCTGCCCCCCGCGGCAGCTAACACTGCCCGGGGAGCCCACCCCAGCTCACCTCTGCTCCACCTCCTCCACTGAACATGCCAGCGCCGCTTTAACTCTTCTCCCCTCCCAGGCTTGCGGCGCCGATTGGAGGAGAATTAGAGCGGGGGCTGTGGGCTCAGGGAGGAGGCGGAGCAGAGGTGAGCTGGGGCCGGAGCGGTTCCCCTGTGTGCCCCCTCCTCTTACTGCGGGCAGCCGTCCCCGCACTCCCCCACTCCAGCTCACCTCCACTCCACCTCCTCACCTGAGCGGGCTTTTAGGCGCCCTCAACCACTAGGCGCCCTAGGCAGCCGCCTAGTTCACCTAGTGGTTGCACCAGCCCAGCATACTTCCCAGTGCCAGGAGCCTGTTTCCACTGGCAAGTTACTGCACTGAAACTTGCTGCTCTCACAGGGATGATTTTTCACATGCCTGAGAGAAAGTTTTAGCACAGTAACGTGCCAGTGTAGACAAGCCCTTCGTGAGTGTTGGCTCTTAGACATTTTCAGCTTGTAGGAGGCCAGGCAGAAACGCGGTCCCATCACAAGTGACTTTAGCTCTCCTTTGAGCACTTAAAATAACAGAGGCTGCTAATGGACCCTATTTTGCTCTACCTTTGAACAAGGGGAGGAACAAATTGAACCAGACTGGAGACCCTTAAGAAGAATCCACACCTCCTTTCTGGACCACTTGTCCCCACCCCTCTTCCTTTCACAGGACTCTGGCATTCAAGCCCCTGGCTCAATCAGGTCCTTTTAGCTGTGAGTGACCCCCTCATTTGGGACAGTTTAAGCACCGTTCTGCTCCCTTTTGTTCATACAGTAAAGACAGCAACATTAATAAGAACATTTCACTACCCCTGCATTCAGTACTACAGTGATCAGTAACCCAACACCAGCCACAGTAGATCAATTTGACCCACACTGCTCTATCTGCTGGATACCTAGGCAGAATAGGTGTTTTTGTCTAGTTAGCAGCCGGTTTCAAGCAGAGTGCCCCAAGGGTCGGTCCTGGGGCCGGTTTTGTTTGATATCTTTATTAATTATCTGGAGGATGGTGTGGACTGCACTCTCAGCAAGTTTGCAGATGACACTAAACTGGGAGGAGTGGTAGATACACTGGAGGGTAGGGATGGGATACAGAGGGACCTAGACAAATTAGAGGATTGGGCCAAAAAGAAACCTGATGAGGTTCAACAAGGACAAGTGCGGACTCCTGCACTTAAGACGGAAGAATCCCACGCACTGCTACAGACTAGGGACCGAATGGCTAGGTAGCCGTTCTGCAGAAAAGGACCTAGGGGTCACAGTGGACGAGAAGCTGGATATGAGTCAACAGTGTGCTCTTGTTGCCAAGAAGGCAAACGGCATTTTGAGCTGTATAAGTA